TATAAAAATTCACTTATAAGTAAAAAAAAATCAATATATAGTTGACTTTTAACGAAAAAAGTGAAACTGACAAAAAGATCCAAGTGACTCGTCGGCTCGTAGATTCTACTCGACGAGCTCACCCATGAGTGATTCGGGCACGTTTAGGCACGAGCCTGAACTGAACAGGGAGCTTGGACGACGAACCAAGCCTCGACGAGCGGCTCGTGGGTCGTGCCCACGAGCCTAAAGCTCACATGGCCACGAGTCAATGGGCTCGTAAAATAAAAAAAGTGACCAAATGTTCAGTTTTTTTTCAAATAATTGATCGTTTGATCAATTAGAAGTAAAGTGAAATTGAGCTCGTGGGCCGGGCCGAGCCGAGCACGAGCTCGAACTCGGCTAGTCTCTTGGATGAGTCGAGCTCGTGGGTGTATGGGCTGGGCCGTCTCCGCTCGGCTCATTGCCTTCTATATATATTGAAATGTTATGGTATATTAAGAGCTCGTTTGGTAAATATTAAAATATAATTAAAATTAAAAATATAACTGTTATTGAGTCTCACTCGTCTAATAAAAGTCAACAATAATTGCTAATTTTTCAATTTTAATCCGATTTTAATCTCTACCGAACATGCCCTAAATGAGATTCATATCAATATTTTAAGATGATTAATTAATTAATGTCAACTAAATTATATCTAGATTAATATTTAACACCAATAATTTTAAATAGTGTTATAAAAGCATCTTCAATGCAATAATGTGTATATTGTTGTACATATGGCAAGCATTATGGGGATGAAGAAAAGATAATCTTCAATGGGTATGTAGATTGCATTAATTATGGGCTTCTTGTACAATTGAGAGGATTTAGCCCCCAGTTGATAATTATTATTCTCAAACTTTTTTTTACATACATATTTTCAACCACACATTTACACAATAATTTTTAACATAATCGAAAATATTTTCCATACTTTTTAATCATATATTTTCTTAAAAATTAATATTCAAAACTCTATGTTTCCCAAATAATGATTGTCAAACAAGGGTTTAGGGAAGGGTAATTCTATTACCACTACGAATCTTATTAAGTGCACCACAATTTTTAGTATTTTTCTTATTTACTTAAATAGCTTTAAGTATAATTAAATAATTAAGCATTTAATATATTTTTTAATAAAATAAATTATTGTTTCACATAAACCTAAATTTTTCTTTCTTTTTTTCTCAACGTTTGACTGTGCATAAATTATAAAAAATTAAGTGAAATTGTCTAGCACATCCTCTCGTCGTGGAGGGTATGCTATACATCCTCCTATAACTGAAAAATGATATACTATCTAATTTTCCTATAACCTCGTCACCTGTGACTTATAAGTTATAATAATGAAAATGATACGTCAAGACCGGAGTTTCCACCGCCACCAATTTTTCTAGTTGCCACCGGTAATAAATCTTGCGTGTCGGTGCCGACACTAATACCCGCCGACAGTGGCACTAATACCCGCCGACAGTAGCACCGGCTGTATCAGGTGACAAATCCTGACACAATTAATCTTGACCGGCAAGAGATGGTCACCTGTTCGTAGTCCCATTCACGAGCCCCATGCAATGCGTCGGTGCTGCAAAATTTGACTTGTGTGAAATATTTTCTAAAAAACTAGTATAAAATATTTATGAATCCCTTTCAAGATATTGTTTTAACTTAATTGAAACCCATTTTCTTTATTTTCCACTAGTTTGAAATTGATTGATATTTGTCCGAGTTCGATTTGTGACTAACCTATAAAAACCACATAAGCGTTGATATTACTTGGTATAAAAGGTTCTAAAATTTGAGATTAGTTGACTATATATCAATGAATTGTTGAGAAATTGTGTTCAAATTCAATAAAGTAGGTGTGGAATGAAAGAGGAAGATTATGGCTGAATTTGTGGCCTATGCCGTCATTTGGCCATGTGGTCGCATCGCTATCAACAGGGATTCAAGCCCCTATTTCGAACTCCATTATAGGTACTCTATGCGGTCACATAGAGTAATTTTTTGGACCGTTGAAGGCCGTTTTGACCATATATATATATATTTTTTTTAATTTGGTGGCTTTTCACTCAAGTTTTGACGCTATTTCATGCTTCTGGTCGAGACTTATATATAAGAGATCCATGTTCAATGCAAAAATGTATGAAAAACACTTGAGATCCATATATCATTCCAAAATCAAAGATCAAAATTCTGATTCTTCATCATATTCGGAATTTTAATTGAATTCTTCAAGTTTTGGGGATTACATTTTATGCTTGAGTGTTTAATCCTTACAAGGCTTGATTAATCTTTCAAACCGTTTGCCGGAAACCTTCAAGCATCATTTTCAATCCGAAAATGGGGCAAATTTAGTTTGAGAACAACGATCACGCGTTCAGGCTTTCGGTGTTCATTTTATCAAGTTTGATTCTGGTTTTGTTTGTGTTCGTTGATCTTGTTGCTGCAATATTTGACGTGTTTCTTCTCCAACTCCGGTGCTTCTATAACATGAAAGAAAATATTAAAACAAACATATTTATATGTACAAACGAAAATATTAGCATCGTCCTTTGTAACCACCAAAGCTTTCATTAGTCAATATTTTATCGAGACAAAAAAAAATTCCTCCTTTTTAACGACGTGTTTTTCAAAAAAAACTTATTCCACTTCAATCTCCCAAACAAGTAATAAGTGAGTTTTTGTTTATAGACGTGACTCGAGTTTATCACTTTATCTCATTACCGTAATGAAATTAAATTTAAATGATAAAGAAAAATAATTTTAAAAACTAGATGCTTATACTGGAACTTGCCTAAACAAGCTAGAGAAATATAGTGATATAAATAATAATATTAAAGACAATATTAGAGACACCATTTGTCTTGAGATTTCCGTATAAATTATCTTTCTTCGTTGTCAAGTAATCCATCATTGAATTAACCAAACGAACCGGATTGGACCGCTACTCATCTTTAAATTTTGCGTACATAACATATCTTATCTACTAAAAGCACTTTATATGTTATTTTGAGAAAAAAATTATTTTTTTTATGCAAATATTGAGACATTGTCACTTATCTTGTTATTACGCAATACCCATATGTCATTAGATGTGTCTTCCTCGACATCGATATTCAAACCATCGTCTTCAAAAGTTAACTCTAAATAAAGCTTAGTATAACTTCTTTAGTTATCGAGTCGAATTGAAACACAACTAGAAAGGCTCAAGCAATCACTACAACAAAAATGACAATTGGCAGCACATTAAAGACAACATTTATTATTTGAGTGTTGCCAAATGTATCTATCGCAACATTCTAATAAGTGAATGTTGCTATTGGTAAACAAAATTGAGATTTGACAACATTTTTCAAATGTATGTTGCTAATGTCGTCTTTTTGCAATGTTTATTTAAGTGTTGCGGAAAGTTTTATTTTTTACAACGTGCATAGGTAGTTGTTAAAAGTTCATTATATAACAACGTTTACTGACTGTTGCGAATAATTAGATATATAGTTTTTCACAACGTTCGTTTACTGTTGCACAATGTTAAACTTTTCACAACGTTGCAAAAAGAGTAACCTTCGACAACATTTAGTAAACGTTGTTAATATGAAATAGGCTGACTTTTTTGCAATATTTGTTAACCGTTGTTTATATTGTTCAATAGACTAACTTTTCGCAACATTTATTAAATGTTAATATGATTATATAGCTTTTAGACTCAACCCACAATCCATTTCATCTGCTTCCGCCTCTCACAAACCCTACAGAGGATTAACATAGAAGTTGTGTCTCCCCAAGCTGCAAAGGGAAAATATTTTCACGAGGTGGGAACTACAGAGCAGATGAAATGAACTCGAGCTCCATTGCTCCACCCACAGTGGAGGATCCTTTAGCATTGGATTATTCGACGTCGGTGGAGGAGGAGTTGAAGCGTGTGAAATGAACTCGAGCTCCAGTAGGTTTCTCTTCTTGACACCCCGAATTCCCAACCTTCCTTCGTGGGTCCCTCGTCCTAAGTGAGTTTAGTTTGTGATGGCTTTACTTTTACGATTTCTAAACTTCTTGTCGTGTCCTGGATTTTGAGAAAACTGGATGATATTTGACGGGACTATAATATTTATTATTATTTTAAGGTTTTCCATTTGTTAGGTATTTCATGATTTTCTTTTAATTTTAGATTTTTGGAAGTGAAATTAGGTTTTTTTGTAGCAGTTTGTTGGAAACATATTGTGAAGATTATGACATTGCCGATGGCTCTATGAGCAGTCTGAAAAATAAAATACTTATATAATCTTTTTTTATGAATAAATAAAATAGATATTGGAGACAATCTTTTAGACTTTACAAGTAGTTGATGGGATTCATTTTAGCCCAAAGCCCATTTTCAAAATGAAAAGGTAAGTTCAGCTCGTCAATGTTAAAAGGGTATAAAATAGACTAGTTGATTACTAATTTTTATTCTTACTACAAAAAAACTAAAAGGAAATCCACATATACTCCACACATATTGCTACGTCACGAGCGGACTATTTTATATCTACCATGTAGCCTAGCAAGATTGCCACAAGTCGTGTATGTGCTCAAGATGGCATCCACGTGTAAGTAATTGTGCTTATGATGAGCTTGCCCGGCACGTGAGTGTACGTGTAAGTAATTGTGCTTATGATGAGCTTGCCCGGCACGTGAATGTATGCGTATGGCTAGATACTAAGGAAAGAATGTGACAAGTGGCATAAATCGTTTTATATATTTGGTCAATGTTATTAGCAATCAATGGAGAATGTGTATAAATCCATGAAATTTGCATTTGCAATCCTACCAAAATGGCGATGATTTTTATTTTTTTGCTTATTTTCCATCATTCTACAAAATAGAGATATACATGTCATATAGAATAACAGTACCATATAGCCTACAAATGAACTAATTTGAGATTATTTCTCATACTATTTTTCTGTTCATGTGTAGACTGCACCCCCACAATCTGTCTATCTAATGCCAATGGAATCTGTAGAAACTGCCTTTGAGACATCTAGATGATTAAGCCGACACGTTCCGAGAAGGAATTCCGGAAGTTCTTCCTCTGTGTCACCCTGCAAATTCAGCACAAATCTCAACCCGAAAAAAACAGAAATATAGTTCACGAGTATCTATGAATTCTTCGACTCGAATGTCATACACTATCATTCTCTTATTTCATACTTGTCACGCAGTGTAAATGGTAAATTAAACCTTGCTTTTTTCTGCTGCCTTCCCGTTCGATCATTACTAGATCTAATAAAAAATCTAAAGCAACAAAATATGGCTTGCAGGTATGTATGGATTCTTCCACACCGATGTCATGCACCTCCATTAGTTACATTCCTGCTTCTTAGGAAGTACAATCGGGAAACTAAGCCTTATTTCCAATACATTTGGGGTAAGTTAATGAACTGTTTTTTCGACTCTTTTCAGTTCATTACTAGATCTTACTAAAAGATCTAAAGTAACTTAAACGTGGTTTGCATGAACCTATAAATTATTGGGTTGTGCTATGTGTACACAATGCATTACACCCCCCTCACTACACCACAAGGTGTACACATAGCATTATTCTAAATTATTTGACTACAATGTCATACATTTCCATCGTTATTTCCCTACTTTTTGAGAGCATCAATGGTAAACTAAGCTTTGTTCTTAATAAATTTAGGGTTGGTTATGCGAATCCTTTTCGGCCACTCCCTTTGATTCATTGCTGGATCTACTAAAAATCTAAAGCAGCTGCACCCAATGAAAATTAGATGGAGGATTTGATGCAAACTAGTTGAATCCAACTCCAAATTGGTCACTTAAAATCCTTGGAGAAATGATCACTTCCGAACCATATATTCGGGATAACAATGTTTTTTTACCTGTATTAGAAATGCAAGTTCTATAACAAGATTGTTTAGGTATCCGAGAACCAGGCTAACTATGCCCCTCGCTACTGTGGATGATCCAACGTCAATATCAAGCTGAAAATCCACATGCAGTGTAAAAGTTAAGAAGGTTTTTATACTGAAAACTAGAATTCCTCCATGATCTCACTTTTGAGTGAGAGCATATCACTAAAACTAATGACTTTCGAAAAGTATATAATCTTTGCATTTTACCTCCAAGTAGTTCTTTCCTCGAACATAATGAACTTCAAGCGCTTGACCTACCAAACCAGCTTTCTTTCCAACGCTCTGCTTTGCAATCCAAGATCCCTATGAACGTCAGTGATTAGAATTTTTGAAGTTTGAAGAGATTAAATATGGAAAAAGGGGTAACCCTTTAAATTTCATATGCTCAACTACCTTTGAAATGTATGGGATAAGCTTGAACCTTGAGTTCCTAAAAGCATCATCTCCATTGACAAAGCGTTCTAACAAAGGCGTTTCTTCCAAGGGAGATGTTAGCATGTAATAAAAGGCCATATTATGTGGAGTTGTTCCTGGAACCTGATTCAGTTGCCAAACACAAATCACACACTGAATTCTAGATGAACCCCGGAGATGGAACTTGATAAAAAAAATATAGAATTACCTGCATGTTAACGACAAAAAAGAACTCTGGTCTTCCTTGAGCTGCATGTTGCTGCGTGTGTTTGCAGATATACTGTCTTTAACTAATTCAAATTCATGATCATAAAAAGGATTAAGAAATGATATGGCGAACCTGAACGATGCCTCCAGGGCGACTGGCAAGATCATCTTCACGCGTGTCGGATCTTAGCCAATCTGCAGCAACCATTTGCATCAAAGTACCTTTTGCTTTGATCTGCTTAAACAAAGTATTTTCCAGGATTAGAAATTGAAACACCAATTTTGTTGCAAAGCGAAAAGATGATATACTAGAAATTGCACATCTAACTCTCGGAAAAAAGCATAAAACAAAAATAGACACAGGATAGTGATCCTCGAGGAAGATAAGTTAGAAATTCAATTACTCAAACGATCTTACAATTGGTTGCAGAGAACAAAATGATCTATTTTGCCTGAACACGCACACAATTGCATGCACAGGTATATATAGGAAAATACGTAGGTAGCAGTTCATTTACTTTTATTTGTAAGCATAATGGAAAATAACATAAAACCCCCTCCGAATTTTTTCACTCCCAAAATTGGTTAGCTCCTAGCCTCTATCAGTCTCTTGCAGTTTGGAGGTTGCAGACTCAAGGGATTTATTTTCATGCGAGTCATCCACTTTGATCTTTCTCTTCTTTCTTAATCAAAAGCAAAGAACATGAAATTCTATCACTAAAAATAAAAATTATTAATTCCTAACTAGGCTAGGATATAATCTAAATGGAAATATTTCCATAATCTCCTATTCTAACTTTCCTATTCTAAATTTTGCACATTGATGGAAAGAAAACGACACCAACTAAGCCTTGTTCCTAAAAATTCTGGGGTTGGCTACATAAGATTTGTTTTTGCCACTCTATTCGGATCATTGTAAAATCTACAGGAAGATTCAAAGCAATTAGATGCTCAACAACCACAATAAACCATGTTACCCATGTCTCTTTTAACCTGTTGTACTGAGATCTCATGATTCAAATGAATAGGAGCTTCTTTCATCTTTCACAAGAGTGACGTGATCTCAGTGGAATGACAAATATTCAAAATTAATAATTGATTTTCACCTGACATTTTTAAGGGAGCAATTTTTTAATTTTTTTTAACCATATATGAAGAAATCAAACTGCAACCTTTCGATGATCTTTTAAATAGTTTTCACCGCGGATCAAGAATGAGGATGGATCGGCAGCTGCCCAGCTACTAGGCATATTCAAACTTGGATCTTTTGGAAGTGTGGTTCCGTAACTGCATGATGTGTTATCTTCCAAAGACATATCTTGCAAGTCTGTGTAACCCTTTTTTTGGACTGCAAAAAATACAAACAATTCAAGTCATTCGCAAATAATATTTGTTTGAGGTATAACTTCGAATTAATTGATCATAGTTGCAATCATACTTAAAAGAGGCCAACCTGCACGATCATGTAATTTTTTCACAATACTGGCAGCGGATTGCAACTTCGGCTGGTACGTGTCCTGCATGTCTCAAAGTGGAAGCCAAGTATCAGAAGCAGTTAAATTCATTCATGTATTGCAGAATGTCAATTAAATGAGATGAGTCATCGCAGCATCAAAAGCATTTGGTATCAGAGCCATCCTAAAAGTTTTTTCAACCGCTTATGGCTGAGATAACCTCAAACCCGCCTCTTCCAACACAAAACCAAACTCCCAGTACCTATACTCATCCAGTTCAAATTACCACTATTCGCCTTAATGGTGATAATTATTTACGGTGGTCTCAATCAGTTCGGATGTATATTAGAGGGAGAGGGAAGATTGGATACCTGACTGGAGACAAGAAGGCACCAGCAACAGAGGATCCAACGTACGCGCCTGGGATGCAGAAAATTCGATGTTGATGACTTGGCTTGTGAACTCCATGGATGAGGATATTAGTTCCAATTATATGTGTTACTCCACAGCCAAGGAACTCTGGGAAAATGTGAATCAAATGTACTCTGACTTGGGAAATCAGTCTTAGGTCTATGAATTGACTCTGAAACTTGGTGAAATCCGGCAAGGACAGGACTCTGTAACCAAGTACTTCAATTCATTAAAACGTCTTTGGCAAGATTTGGATCTGTTCAATGATTATGAATGGAAATCCATAGAAGATGCCAAATATTACAACCGTATTTTGCCTTTGTCTAGGTCCCGTAATTACTCACCAATCAGTTTTGTTTCTCCACATTACATATGCTTATGCTAATTTCAGCATTCGAAATAGAAAAACCAGTGTAGACATCATAAAATTTGTCAAGAAAGTGAATTTCTTGAAAAGAAAAACTTGAGAACAAGATAGGATCTGCTTCAATGCAAGAAATAGTAGGAAAAAATACGATCAAATTAAAAATTTGAATAAGAAAAACAGAAAATACCACATAGCATAATTCTGGACTTGTAATCAAAGGCCGCTCATTCTCTGATCGTTCATCATCGGATGGTTCAGGAACATCGAAAAACTCATCAACTGCATCATTCAGTCCCATAAGATTTGAAGGCCGTGGCTCATCTTCTCTTACAATCTCCATCCCCATCAAGTCAATTTCAGTTTTGATATCATCTTCTTCACAATGAGGCACCCCGATTTCTCTTGTTATCTCTCCCGAAAAAATTTCATGTGAATTATTTAAGCCTTTTACTCTGAACAACTCTCTTAATGCTGCAATGTGCCAAAATAATTCCATCCATTTTAGAGAACTTCGGTTGGAAAAACCTGAAAATTTTTAATCGAAAAGTGACACGTATTTTTACCTCCAACTCTCTCAAGAAAACTGATAGTTATAGTTCTTGCAGATGCTTTCATTACATAGGATTTCCAGATTCTCCAATCAACAGCCAGCATGTGTTTTACAACACACTTTTTACCTTGTCTCACAGGACTTATCACAAATCCACCACCTGTTCGATTAAAGATGAAATGAAAATCTTAATTCACAGTAGAAAAACCATATTACACAGGTATTTCAGCTCTCTATGACATAAAATGAGTGAACTTTAAAAGAGGAATAAATTGATCTAAAATTATGAGATTTTGCCATCATTTTTTTTTGGTCCCTTGAAGAAGCTATTACTCATAGAGAAGGCAACCCATTTGATAATATTTGAGATACAAATATTAGTCGTGCCCCGAAAATAGATACTCTGAGAATCATTAGCAGACACAATATTTTTTCACAGTAAAACGAAAAATAGAAACATTTATTCTTCTCTTTTCCACTAGCCGGAGTAAAAAATGAAAGCTGCATTTGTGGTCAAAATTATAGAGAACTAAACTAAAGAGCTTAGGCCTGCCAACATTACTGATAGAAAAAGGGCATTAAAAATTTCAAATTTAAGTATACATTACTTTTAAAGTAAGCACGAACATATCCGCATTGAGGTGGACACTTTCTGTGGAAAACGGAATGATAGAGAATTACTGCAGCAAAACAGTGCATGAGAGAAATTAATTATTTTGTAACAATTGTACATTCTTCTCAAAAATTTCAGTTAAAAAGCACCGTATGTGCCATCATCTTCTCTTCTCCAATAACGCCGAAGCAGCAAGTCTCTTCTTTTCATTGCCCTGAGACCAGAAGGTGTTTACTAATAGCATGATTATAAAACGGGTTCTACATCTTTAATACTCGGAGAATGGTACGCAGCCAATGGTTATATAGTTGGATGTGAATTATATCCGTGTGGCCATCAAGGTGCTCGACCACACAGCCTCTATAGAAACAGAAATCCCATCTACATAAGAACACTTGAAAGGTCAACCTCCAAAAAAGAATCCTTGTTTCCATCAAATTAAGAAATGATTGATTTCAGGAAAATCTTAGACAATTTATAAAACTCAGTGCATCAATCCTAATGCAGCGATTTTCAGTATTCAAAATGTTGGAAATTCGTAATGACATGTTTGATAAGGAGAACTCGATAGTAAAGGACAATATTAAGAAAGAAAAAAAAAATCTTTTTTAATATTTGTCCAGTCCTACAAAACGGACTAAGTTTATTGTTGGATCTTTATAGCCCCACAAACATCGATTGCCTTCAAGTAATTGTCTGAGAAGGATTATATTTTCTAAAAAAGAAAAACGAATGTGAGAACTCGACTCCCTTCTATCTTAAAAGTGAAAGCGTACAAATCAGACTAGATGATAGATGTTAAAAAGATTTGCAGCTTTCTATTCATCTCCCTAAATCTCTGAGCACATGCTGTAACTGTCAATAACAAAGATCCATATTTATGTATCGCATATGCGTTCCTCAAGAACATAATAACAGCATGCTTATTAATAGGTTTGGCAGAAGGGGAAAAATCGAGAAATCTTTACTCTGTTCTTGAGGGACCGAGTGACATAACAGCATGGAAAACAGCTTCTGACGTTCCATCGATGACACCAACCACCATAATTGCTGGGTGATTGCCCCAATGCTGAGAATAAGCATTCAAAAATATGTCAAGGAGGAAAATATGTAACTAACTTAGAAAATTAATGATAACAGGCCTTTTCTCTTTAGATGGGAGGGTAATGAATCTCTTTCTTTTGCTTCTTTGAAGAGCCGTAATCCTGATGAGGTGACAAAATAAAACCATCAACTGTAATCTCTGAATAATAAAGGTCAATTTCCACCTCAAAGTACTTAAGAGTGAGTTCTTACCATTTCGACAGCCAAATATTTTCCAAGGTGAAGGTGCAATTACATCAGATGTCATCGCATCCACTTGCAGAGAAGATGCAGAAGTCAATTTAATGGAACTTTTGTTCGCCTTTCCCTTTGCAACACTCAAGCTGTAGAAGACGTGGAAAAATAAATGCTGGTGTGTGGAACAATCCATACATAACATGTAAAACAGGCACTAAAACTTCTCCATTGACACACAAGGAGAGTAAAAGACGAAAGAAAACTAGAAAAACAAAAGTATGGAAACAGAATGAAGAGAATTGGACTTCTTGCATTGAAACCACACACAGACGTGATAAAAGGGAATAAAAGTAAAAATGATTAAGCAGAGACGAGCAGCATCCCCCAGAATGAGTACACTCATAAATTTGAAACTTCTTGGTGGATTACATTAATCATTTCAATTTCTAGTCTGATACGCATAATTCAACTTCAATTGACAAGATCAAACAACCAAGTGTGTAATAATATTCAATATGATTTAAATTGAGATAGCTTCTCAAAAATAAGAGTTAAATAAGTTTATATGAAGAATTTCAACCTCTCGAGATATCTACGTAGGTCTAGGGAAAATATCAGAATTTGACATCATACATCTACATAAAGTCCTAACATTCAGTTTTTTGTAAATTTTCATCTTTGAGACAACATCTTGGCGATGAACTCCAGCAATCAAAGTAAGGTTACCTGAAAGGTTGCCATTTTCTTTTTGAAGGAGCTTTTATGTTTTTAACAGGATTAAATGCAGCATCCTGTAAAGAACGGATCCATCTAGCAGCTTCTTCTGAACTGATCGCCCCCAACTATAAAATTTGGAAGAAGTTCAGGGTCACCAACTATAAACTTACTAAAAATCAACAGAAAAAGAACACATACCTTCAGTTGATCATTATGATTAGAAGTATTGCACAAGGTGAAAATAAAAAAACACCTGCAGGTGAAAAGGACAGTCATATAAGTGCAGAAGTAGAGCTTTCACTTTTTGTTTATTAATCAAGTGGGAAGCAAATAATTTTATTGACATACTTTTCTGTGATGGCTTTCTCTTCCATTATCTGTAACTCGAATACAGGAGTCGATTATTGCACTTTTCACAGGCTCCTGATACAAGAATGGGTCGATAAATATCACAGATTGGTCAGGGACTCAGGATCAAAATGAAGTTTCACTTCGTCATCAGATTCTCAACTACATCATAGAACTCCTTGATTGGGGAATGAACAGATGATGAGGTTTTGCAATCACGCATTAGTCATTTAGACACAGTTCTTTCACGATTATTTTTCGAGTTGCAACTGAAATTCATGGAGGTCTATGGATGAAAATTCTACTTGATTTATTGAGGCACAAACAATATCAGACATTCAATGCCTGAATCACGTTCTATCCGAACAAGTTTGCTGATGTGAACTCTAATTCTTTATCTTTCAAAAATGCGATCCTAATGTATGAAAGTGTGGGAGAAAATTTGTAATCTCTCCCCCAGATGGAGGTTTTAGGTTGCGATGACCAATCCAAATTGAGTAGAGTCACAATATTTAAATCAAATATCTGCCTAAACCATATATCAAAATGGACTTTATACAACTTGCTTTATCGCACGGGCATAAAACTAGCTGTTAAGGCTGGTTTTCTGGTGTGTTATTGGTGCGTTTTGGTGAATGGATTCCAACTTTTCATGAATTGTTGGAACCATTTCGTGGTGTATTAGTTGAATACAATATGAGTTAGTATTCCATTTCAAATCATCAATTAACGTCAAGAAATCATACTTTGTCATTCCAAATTCATCAAATTTATTCAAAACTTTTAAAGTTTTCATTGAGTTCACTTTGAAGAAACACTGGTGCTTTGGTGTTCTTCATAATTAGGCTTGATATAATCCTCCAAACTATTTGCCGGAAATCCTTAAAAGCATCCGGAGAGGAGGCAAATATCGTTTGAGGACAACGTTCTTAAACGTGTTCAAGTCTTGCCATTTACTCCTTTTTTGATGTTTCCATTTTCATCTTTTTCTACTCTCCATTGTTGTTATTTCCAACAGAAATTTCGTAGAAATTAACGAATGCATATATATATTTGCATGTTACAATATAGGAAATACAAAATGTACCTCTGTATCAGAAATGGGGATTGATTTGAAGCTCTTGAGGCAATTCTCTTCAAGAATGAAATACCTTTTACGTGAATATTGCATCCCAAAACGGTTGAATCGAATCAGGTAAAGCCAACCCTGCATCTTCGCGTCACTTTCTACCATTCCCAGTTTTTTCAAGAATCCTCAAGAAAAGAAAGGAAAAAAAATCCCTCCTTCTCTGATTTATTCCTTCTATTTCAAAATCCCATTTCGAGAATGGTTCTAGAATGCTTTATTATCAATCATACACACGCAAAAGTGAGTATGTAGCTATTTAAATTGAGGAAACAAAAACTAATTCTGGGAAGATGAGAAGAGATTATGATAGTTAATCCTCTGATTCCACAAAAGGGAATCAGAGAACAAAAGGCAGAATGCCAGTGGTTTTTGGATTTTCTGGCGAACTTCAAATGTACAATATGTATTTTCTTTCGATGCCAAATTTTTTCTTGTTCCCTTCCCGCTTTTAATATAGCTGATGCTATTGTTTATAGGCAGTTGGTTGGCAATCCTTCGCTTTTACAAACTTGCCCCTTTTTATTTTTTTTGTATTTTCAACCTTCAACCTAAATTTTACTTTCTTCGACGAAGATAAGGGCTTGTTTGATTCTCGTTAAATTATTTTATGGTTTGCTATAAGATCATTTTCAATCATATATTCACACAATAAAATATTCTGCACGTTTTTCTAAAATTTTTCTTTACTTTTTAATCACACATTCCCTTAAAAATACTATTCGGAACTCATTTTTTTCCCATTAATGGTAATCCAACAGGCACTAAGCTTGTTTTCCCATTTTTACACACATTAAAAAATGTAATTAATATAGTTAAAAATATTAATGTTTTCCAATATACCCCTACATTAAATAATTCATATTTGTTAATAATAATACATATTAAATAGGGGCAAATTAGAAATCTATTATAATATAAATCAGAAAAGTGGTCTATAATTTCGGATAGACAAAAAGAAAAATAAATCCATCTTTTTGAAATAGTTGGAGTATTTTGTGTTTTCTTTTAGGTTGTGAAAATTGTTTGTTTTATTGTTTAGGTTTTTCTTCTCTTTTCTTTTGTTTTGGAAATCTTTTTATTGAGAAGAATAAGACCTTAAGGCTATACGTGGGACCAATCAATTTTTTTTTTTTAAATTATCAGATAAATGATTTACATTAATTTCACCAAAGATAGTAATATATATTGGAAAAATAAATTCGACCTTATCAATTATAATTCTTAACATTTTCTCTACATCTTTTCATATCACAACTTATAAAAATAATCAAGTTTGATACGTAGCATGCAAAATATGCTAACATTTTTGTGTGTATATCTTATATCTGCTTTTTTTATACGAACACTTGTAAAACAAAACATCAATTAGTGTCGAATTTGCTTTAGCGTAAGTTTTTCATCTTTCAAGTAACAAGTACGAAGAAAAATGTTAATCGAATAAGAGTGAAATTGTTTGCTTACTTTTCTTAGTAGGCAATTCAGCATATAGGTGCCATAAGCTAAGGGGTTAATTGACCAGACTCTCTCTCTCTACAATAAATTTATCGTGAAAAGACAATCTTAATTGCTTCCAATTAGTACTAGCTTGTGTGGTACACATTTACATTAAATAATAAATTTATTTAAATGTAATATTATGGGATCACATTTGTTAAACTTACTATACATATGTTCATATTTAAGTAGCCCCATTATTTAAAAGTATTTTTTTTAAAACTTATTTTCAACTACATATTTTTAGGGATAGCAAAAGGGTGGGTATGGGACGGGTCGACATTCTCACCCCTGTCCCATCAGATATATTTGTTACCTTACCTCATTCTCGTATAGAGATGTCAATGGGCTAAGCTGGCTCGGTCCTTAAACCCACGAGCTCGGCTCGTGGAGAAACGAGCCACGAGCTCACGAGCCGAGCCGGCTCGTGGCTCATTTGCTTGTGGGCGAGCTCGGCTCGTGGCTCATCAATTTTATTTTTTTTTGCTTTTGCTTTTCTTAGCTTTTTTTTTAAATTTTTTTTAGTGTTTTTTTACGAGCCCACAAGCTGCTCGTGAAAAAACGAGCCGAGCCGAGCTCGACTAACCTAGCGAGCCCGCCACTCGGCTTGTGCTTGGGCTCGTCTTTTGGCGAGCCCGAGTGGCTCGTGGCTCGGTGGCAACTAGCCGAGCCCACGAGCTGGCTCGGCTCGATTGCCACCACTATTCTCATACTCGTTTAAAGCGGAACAGACGGGATAGGGGCGGGGCAGATTTTTACCTTAAAGTTTTCGTGAAGAAATTGCACAAGCCATTTAGGCTCTTTCTATTCCCACTAATGCTAGAAATTTGAATTATATCATAATGCATGTTTGTTAATTCGTTTCTAATAAGTAGCATGTCCTTCAAAAGAAAACGCCTAACTTGAAATAAACTTATTTACTTCTGCTCTAGATATCGAACTGGTATCAATGTATCTTTCAAAGATAGTTGAGAATATTGAATACTATACACCAAGTTTTTTTGGGGTCTTTTTAGGTAACCAAGAACCTTATGATTCTTCCAATTTTATGCACTTGGTTTACCAGTAAACGGTTTCCTAAATTCAAATTTCTTAATATTTTAGGATTCTCGTTAATTATATGAATTTGAATATTCCACAAAATTCATAAGATTTCAACATAATTCTATATTATAATTTTTATGAATTCCAATAGATTTCATAGATTTGAAATATCAATACCAATTTTCTTAGGTACTTTAAACTTATTAAATGATTATATAAATTATAAAGTGTTTTTATTTGAAATTAAACATTTTTTTTTTGACGTGCATTTTGTCCCCATATATCATAAAGAGAACATTTAATTTTTTTTTAAATTATTTTGTTGGAGTTTGGTGTCTAAACTACAACGTTGCAAGATTCGTATTTTTGTAAAATTCGTACAAAGTGGACGCTTTGAGCGCATAGTTAATATGAAAATATTGTATGGATTAAATTGAGAAAAGAGTTTTTATTTTAAAATGCACGATCTTATAAATTTTGATTTAGAATATATATATATAAAATTAAAAATGTTGCATGGATTAAAATGAGAATTCGTATTTTAAAATGCACGACATTTTAAATTTTGTTTTAGAAAAATATTAATATATCAAATATGAATTTAGTTATCTAATTTTAATAGAGTTCTTAACATGTACTTGGAATTAACGTTTACAGTGTAACATGCTTCTATTGATAAGGAAAAAAAATAAGCAGAAGACATTTTTCTATAGGAAAATTACTAATCTAGTACTTACAGTTTGAGAAATACAACATATGGGTCCCCATTCAAATTTTTAAGGCACACAAGTCAACATTCTTTCATAAATAGGCACATAAGTTTTTACTTGAATGAATATGTCAATTGTACTTTATCGTCAATCCAACCTCTCGCCTCCACCACCGGTCGTTCCCTTATTGTCTTTACTCCCTTGGCCCCACTTCCGTGCGAAATCACGAGAAATCACCCTTAGTTTTGCAATAACCAGGTCGGTGGCGGAGGTGAGAGGCGGCCTTGGTGGGTGCAAATGTCGGGTAAAAGGATTAAGATGATTTTTCTTTTTCCTTTTTCAATTCTTCATGCTTTATTTTTCTTTTTTCTCTTCTTTTTATTTTCCCTTTTGCTTTAAAAAAAATACTTTTAAAGAAATAGAGATAGATTACTTAGATTATTTCTAACGCGTGTTTATAAACACGAGTAATTGTGCGATGAAGAAGTAAGTAGTACGTTCAAATCCTACGAAATATCTAGATAAAAATAATTTGACACGAAATGATTTTTATTTTTCAAAGAAGATATTTACAAAATCTAGAAACAAGTATTCGAACGTACTCTAAGCTACTTGCACCTTAAAAAGGTCTAAATTTTGTGCATTAAAAATCGAAGTTTGAAAATATAAAAATCAAGAAAGAAATTTAATGGAGAAGTAGGTGCTATATAGTTGTGACCACCTAGCT